CAAGTAGTAAACTGACAGTTCAATTAAAAAACAAACAATTTTTATTTTTGCAACCTTAAAGGACATGTGGGTTACAGTACAAAGTATGGCGGTATCATCAAAAGCTGATACTCCAGTTGGAATGTAGAGATAAATCATACATGAGTTGCACTTGACGTGTTTTGAGACCAATCAGAATCTCTTCTTCAGAAGTGCTCAAGAGGCATGACGCATTGCCCCATATAGGGGTAGGGAGAATAGGAAGAACCGCCAAAGGATTAAAGGACATTAGTTTCCATAAATGCAGCCAAAAATGTCATGAGCAAAGATGGACAGAAGGAACGGAGAAGGAAAGTTTAGAGACAATGGGTGCCGCCCAAAAGTCCCCTGGAGGGGCCCCGCCCAACCGTGCCAGTGGCAGACTGAAGGGCTGTCTGTACACCAATGCTGGTGAGATGCTATGGGGGAGAAAAGTTCGATGGTAACTTTAGATATCAAGCGGACCAAAAAGAAAGGGAAGATAAATCCCTTATGCCTGGTTGGCTGTGATGTACTGGCATCATGGCTACATTATCTTCCTATCTATTTAGTAATTCTAACAGCATAAGGATTCAAAATAGTTTATGTTGATTGAGAGAATTTAGTTCTGCTTTAATATATCACAGCTTACTAGTCCTTGGATGTGATGTCTGTATTCATTTCCACTTTTCAGGCTAAAGCTGGTCACACTGTACATATAAGGCCCTTTTCACACGAGCGGACTGATGGGGTCTGCCTTTCTGTTTTCAGGCGGACATGATCAGCCCATCCATAGACTTCTATGGACCGCCGCTGACACCCGCTGGCATCAGATCCGATCATTTCTGCCAAAATCAGACTGATTGGGATCCGTTCCCCATCCATCCAGCGGATCGGATGACAATCGGGCGGAAACGAACAGGTGGTCCGTTTCCATACGACCGTCCCATTGTAATCAGCGGGCAGTGTCCTCTGTCCGTTCTGCAGCAGCAGAGTCCTGACCTGACCTGTCATCCGCCTGCTCAGCAGGGATCAGCGGAGAGATCCCCCACTGAGCAGACAGATCATGCTGACGGATCCACCCCATCTGAAAGGGGCCTAAAGATTTCTCTTATTCAGCCCAGCATATTGAAGGAGAGAAGTCTAACAATAAGGTGTGAATGTGTGGATGGCAGGGTTGGTGGCGGGTTTGCACTGGATTTGCCCGGACATTGCCTTTAGACTTTTCCTTTATTTCCCTGGAAGCAGAATCTGTTATTCCGAATCAGGGGCGGACTGACAACTCATGGGGCCCCCCTGGCAATAGGGGATCATAGGGCCCCTGTTTCCTTGCCCACACTCAAAAAAAGCCTATAAAAGGTACCAGGGGTATTTCATGGGGCCCCCTACTGACCCCGGGCCCTCGGGCAGTGCTCGAATGGTCAGTCCGCCCCTGTTCCGAATGCATATCTACTTACAGAAGGTTCTATCAAATGCACAGGCCTGGTTCTGTGGCCAGGCACAGAATGCTGCTTGAATTTGTGTCCTGCGTCTGAGAGAGACCAATAACTCCAATAAGCTGATGGCATTTTGGCCTGAGCAGATCAAATGGCTGCTGCTGGTTGTTTTTGGGAGATGTATGACATTTGATGTTTTTGTTGTTTTTGATAGAGTGTACCAGAAGTGGATCCAGCTATGAACATGCATACTTCTCAGTCCCAGCAGCGGGCCAACACTGGAACATTCTCCACCATTTCCTCCACTCAGTCACCATACACCACCCCGGCAGGACCACCGCAAAATGTGGGCGGACCAATTACCGCCAACTCTGAGCAGGTACAGCGCCACATCTTAACTTTTAGGCCAAGATGCAACAATAAAATGTGTATGCTACTACATGCCTGTGTTTTTGTTTGTTTTTTTATGTCAGTGGGGAGAATTGTTTCATATATTAGGAATTTCTTCATATGAGCCAATCAAACAATGCAGATTTGATATAGTAATCTTCCCTTTCCTCTTATATGACTTTTATATCACCTTTTACAGCCATATTACACATTATTTTTTTTACTAGTGATAACGGCAGTGGGTGTTGCTTAGGGCTAGGGGACACCTGCTTTGCATTTTGTTTTTCAGATCCATGACAGCCATATGTACAGGAAAGATGCAAGAATTAAATATTTTATCCATGGGACTGTGTGCCTCCAGTGAGCCTAAAACAAAAATGTCATGTTTGGCTTGAATGTACTAATCTGGAACAAACATATAGCTATTGAACCCTCTGTATTTATCATGGTTATGTAGTCAGGCTAGGTATACAGTAATAAATATGCTGCTCCTGTTACTTGCTATGTGCTGCAGTAAGGGGTAAAATACCCTGTGCTGGCATAACACACTGGTCCAGGTTGCCATCAGTCTGAGACAGCAGCATTGATGATTAGTACATAGCACTGTTGATTAGAGCAGTGTGCAGGGGGGGGGGGGGGGGTGCATGCCGAAGAGTGAGACCACTGCTCTCACACATGTGGCCTGGGTTATCGGCAGTCTGACAAACTCCCTTGTACATTGCTCCAGTTAGCAACATTAACACTCAATTCAAAGCAGTGTTAATTAGAGCAGTGTGCAGGAGAGTGTGTGCACGCTGGAGAGTCGGACCGCTGCTCTTACACATATGGCCTAGGTTACCGACGGTCTCCAAACTCCGTTATATGTTTTCTCCAGTTAGCAACATTAACACTCAATTCAAAGCAGTGTTAATTAGAGCAGTGTGCAGGAGAGTGTGTGCACATTGGAGAGTCGGACCGCTGCTCTTATATACATGGTCTGGGTTGTTAGCGGCCTGACACATTCCCTTGTACACTGCTTCAATCAGCAGCATTGACATTCAATGCATAGCCATATCATAAACGTGCAGCGCTGTAAACTCATGAAACATAAATATCTTCTATCATACTTGAAAGTGCAGACAAGTGCGTGAATAGTGTTATCAAATAAATCACTGAGAGTCCGTGACGACCACAAATATTATAGAGCAGGCAGTGAAAACTGCTAATGTCCTTTATCCAAGTGTGCAAGTGTAACGTGCGGTTATTGATGAAGGGAATCCACCGCCTCGGATGGATGTACACTCACCAGACTGTGAGTAAATCAGCACATCTGTTTATATCACACATCTGGGGGTATAATGACAGCTCCGGATTTACTCCTGCAGCTCCCTCCATCCATCAGTTGGGGCAGGTGTCATCTAATCCAAGATGGCCACCGCGCCTCGGTAGTGGCGGCGAGATGTCAGCAATGTAGGCCTCCAACGCGTTTCGTGCGACAGGACGTCCTCAGGGGTATGCCCATTCATATGCATATCACTGTTAATTAGAGCAGTGTGCAGGAGAGTGTGTGCACGCTGGAGAGTCGGACCTCAGCTCTTACATACGGTATGGGTTGCCAGTGGCCTGACACATGCCCTTGTACACTGCTTCAATCAGAAGCATTGCCATTCAATGCATATTACTGTTAATTAGAACAGTGTGCGGGGGGGGCTGCATGCTGGAGAGTCAGACCGCTGCTCTCACCCATGTGGCCTGGGTTACTGGCGGTCTAACAAGCTCCCTTGTATAATGCTCCAGTTAGCAATGTTGGCACTCAATTTAAAGCAGTGTTAATTAGAGCAGTGTGCAGGAGAGTGTGTGCACGCTGGAGAGTCAGACCGCTGCTCTTACACATGTGGCCTAGGTTACCGGCGGTCTCACAAACTCCCTTATGTTTTCTCCAGTTAGCAATGTTAGCAATTAATTTACAGCAGTGTTAGAGCAGTGTGCAGGAGGGTGTGTGTACTCTGGAGAGTCGGATCGCTGCTCTTACACACACGGCCTGGGCTGCCAGTGGTCTGACACATGCCCTTGTACACTGCTCCTATTAGCAGCATTAACACTCAATGCACAGCAGTGTTAGAGCAGTGTGCAGGAGGGTGTGTGTGCAGGAGGGTGTGTTCACAATGGAGAGTCGGCCGCTGCTCTTACACATATGGCCTGGGCTGCCAGTGGTCTGACACATGCCCTTGTACACTGCTCCTATTTGCAGCATTAACACTTTATGCACAGCAGTCTTAGAGCAGTGTGCAGGAGGGTGTGTGCACATTGGAGAGTCGGACCGCTGCTCTTACACACACGGCCTGGGCTGCCAGTGGTCTGACACATGCCCTTGTACACTGCTCCTATTTGCAGCATTAACACTCAATGCACAGCAGTGTTAGAGCAGTGTGCAGGAGGGTGTGTGCACATTGGAGAGTCGGACCGCTGCTTTTACACATATGGTCTGAGTTGCCAGCGGTCTGGCACACTCCCTTATAGACTGCTGTTATTAGCAGCATTAACACTTTTATGTACAGCAGTGTTAGAGCAGTGTGCAGGAGGGTGTGTGCGCATTGGAGAGTCGGACCGCTGCTTTTACACGTGGCCTGGGTTGCCAGCAGTCTGACAAACCACCTTGTACCTGGTACACACTGTCCAATCGGCAATGTTGATATGACAGCAGTATGGTGTGCCTCCCTGCACACTGCGTCAATCAACAGTTCTTTAAACCCGTCTGCTGCTTGCGTGAGAGACCAGCAAAGGCCCTTTTAACTGCAGTACATAGCAAGTAAAAAAAAACCTGAAGAGTGGTATATGTATTACTGTATATGCAGCCTAAATGCTTTCCAGTAAACAATACAGAAGGTTTGCTTGGGCTTAGACCAGTATACTTGATATCTTCAGATGGTGTATTTGATGGGACCATTGCTGCAATGTAGCATTTCATACCATTTTGTACCTTTTTATAGTCACATGACCTGCGCTTCTTATGTTTGTTTTACTGTGTAGATCGGCCGCCTGAGGAGTGAACTCGATATAGTACGTGGAAACACTAAAGTCATGTCTGAGATGCTAACAGAGATGACTCCGGGCCAGGAGGATGCATCCGATCTGGAACTGCTACAGGTAAGGCTGGTCCTGTTGGGTGTCCTACTGAATGAAGTCGGAAAATGGCCAGTCTGGGCCTTAAAGGAAAACTCTAGTTTTACAAAAATGCTCTGTATCCCAGCAGATAAGTATTGTCAGAATCCCTCGATGAAACTAACAGAGGTATATTGCTTTGTATAGGACCTAAACAGGACCTGCAGGGCAATGCAGCAAAGAATTGTGGAACTGATCTCCCGAGTGTCCAATGAGGAGGTGACCGAGGAACTGCTCCATGTGAACGATGACTTGAACAATGTCTTCCTCAGATATGAGAGGTATGTGTCAGCATCCTCGTTCCATGTGGATCATATGTGGGAAGGATTTCACACTGCTACCTGTCCATTTGTAGCTACATGAGCTCTCTGTGTCACAAATGGTTTCCTGCTAAATGTGCCAGCTTCTTTCCTTCGCCTATCAAGACTCTGGGCATCAGAGCTCGTCTATCGAACTTTCCCCGGCTCCCCCTGCAGCTCCTATTTTCAGCTGTAATCCGTACGGTGAGATGTTACCAACAAGGACAGCGAGCATTGTCTATTCCATCCTATTGATGGTTTACATGCCAGCATAGCACCGAGGACAAACTCTGCCTACCATTGAAGGCAGAATACACAGCACATGCACTGGCCCCGCTGTCACTTGGCAGCACTGGTGCTGGTCGATCGATCACCCAGCACTGACACACTGGGAGTTGTGACTTGATTCTTACATTGGGCTTCCCCTCTTCACTCCCAGCATCTGGACAGCTCAGTGGGCGAGCAAATAAAGCATGAGTACAGCATGAGCTGCCTGGGAGGGGAGGGAGGGGGTTGTGGTTGGGGCTCATTTACACTTGTTGTGACTTTGACACACATGAAAGCGTCGACCAATTTCAACTTTTTCTGAGTTTTTACAGTGTTTTGATGATGTTTTTTTGAAGCTTTAATGAATCTTCGCAAATGCCCTGTGTGTGTGTTGACTTTCTGTTTGTTTTAAAAGGGCTCAGTAAAACCCCCAGATCAGTAATTCTCCCAGCTCTTTTAGTACCCCCGTTCAGCAGATCCCCAGCTCATTAGTACCCTCGTTCAGCAGATCCCCAGATCATTCATATCCCCGCTCAACAGATCCCCAGCTCATTAGTATCCTTGTTCAGCAGATCCCCAGATCATTCGTACCCCCGCTCAGCAGATCCCCCCAGATCATTCATACACCTGCTCTGCAGATCCCCAGCTCATAGGACTCTCGTTCCGCAGATCTCCAGATCATTCGTACTCCTTCTCAGCAGATCCCCAGCTCATTTGTACCCCTGCTCAGCAGATCCCCAGCTCATTCGTACCCCTGCTCAGCAGATCCCCAGCTCATTCGTACCCCTGCTCAGCAGATCCCCAGCTCATTCGTACCCCTGCACAGCAGATCCCCAGCTCATTCGTACCCCTGCTCAGCAGATCCCCAGCTCATTCGTACCCCTGCTCAGCAGATCCCCAGCTCATTCGTACCCCTGCTCAGCAGATCCCCAGCTCATTCGTACCCCTGCTCAGCAGATCCCCAGCTCATTCGTACCCCTGCTCAGCAGATCCCCAGCTCATTCGTACCCCTGCTCAGCAGATCCCCAGCTCATTCGTACCCCTGCTCAGCAGATCCCCAGCTCATTCGTACCCCTGCTCAGCAGATCCCCAGCTCATTCGTACCCCTGCTCAGCAGATCCCCAGCTCATTCGTACCCCTGCTCAGCAGATCCCCAGCTCATTCGTACCCCTGCTCAGCAGATCCCCAGCTCATTCGTACCCCTGCTCAGCAGATCCCCAGCTCATTCGTACCCCTGCTCAGCAGATCCCCAGCTCATTCGTACCCCTGCTCAGCAGATCCCCAGCTCATTCGTACCCCTGCTCAGCAGATCCCCAGCTCATTCGTACCCCTGCTCAGCAGATCCCCAGCTCATTCGTACCCCTGCTCATCAGATCCCCAGCTCATTCGTACCCTCGTTCAGCAGATCCCCGGCTCAGTAGTAACCCGGCAGCTCTGCTGATTCCCCACTCATTAGTAACCCTCAGCTCTGCTGATTCCCCACTCATTAGTAACCCTCAGCTCTGCTGATTCCCCACTCATTAGTAACCCTCAGCTCTGCTGATTCCCCACTCATTAGTAACCCTCAGCTCTGCTGATTCCCCACTCATTAGTAACCCTCAGCTCTGCTGATTCCCCACTCATTAGTAACCCTCAGCTCTGCTGATTCCCCACTCATTAGTAACCCTCAGCTCTGCTGATTCCCCACTCATTAGTAACCCTCAGCTCTGCTGATTCCCCACTCATTAGTAACCCTCAGCTCTGCTGATTCCCCACTCATTAGTAACCCTCAGCTCTGCTGATTCCCCACTCATTAGTAACCCTCAGCTCTGCTGATTCCCCACTCATTAGTAACCCTCAGCTCTGCTGATTCCCCACTCATTAGTAACCCTCAGCTCTGCTGATTCCCCACTCATTAGTAACCCTCAGCTCTGCTGATCCCCCATTAAGTAGTAACCCCAAGCTCTGCTAATCCTATGGTTTGCTGATCCTCCTCTCTCTCTTTAGTCTCCACTCACCTCCCACCATATTGCTCCAATGCTGCACACCATCACGTGTGACATCTGCTAGTTTCTCCAGTCCTGGTCCTCCTGCTCTGCTGATTCTCCGCCGCTCTTTCCTTTTGTCTCTCCAGTCCTTGCTCACCCTGTCCAATACCAAATTAAAGTCACCATGTTGCTTTGCACTGTATAATCACCCTTTCCACCTACTGGTACTCACCTCGCCATGCAGCCCCCCCCCCCCCCCCTTGCCTCTGACAGAGCCATGGGTCTGAACCACAAATGAGCTCCATGTCACTCTGTATTGGAGCTCACATAGGGGAGCCGCTGGGGTGGGGAAGGGGGGGGAGTGTTAACGTAATTGTGTTGCTTTGCATTTTATGGACACTCACCCCACCTACTGGTACTTTACTTTTTCCCACTCCCCCTCTGCTCTGTTCCTCCTTCAGAGTCATGGGTCTGATCCCTGTATAAGTTCCATGTCAGTCTATATTAGAACTTGCATAGGGTTAACAGTGTGCTCCCTTCCCATGTGTGACAGTGTTCAGGCCTGTTGGTTGACTTACTCATCACACTCCAGTGACTGCTATGTGTTGTTATCCTGACCATTGCTGTTTTGTATTTATAGGTTTGAACGCTACAGAACAGGCCGCACTGCACAAAACACTAATGGGGTAAGCCTTCGCTATCTGTGATCGACCATACTGTATACTGTGAATGCATGCTTTTCCCAGGTGTGTATGTAGAAAAAAAGTCCTTTGTGGAAACTATAATGACTTGGGGTCGATTTTATTCTAGTATTTGGGGTTGATTTTATTCTAGTATTTGGAGGTTTATATACGTTTAAACTGTTAAAGCTGAACTCCAGGGAATCCTAATTACACAGAAGAATTACATACAGTGAGGAACAGAAGTATTTGAACACCCTGCGATTTTGCAAGTTCTCCCACTTAGAAATCATGGAGGGGTCTGAAATTCACATTGTAGGGGCATTCCCACTCTGAGAGACAGAATTTAAAAAAAAAAAATTCAGGAAATCCCACTGTATGATTTGTAAAGAATGTATTTGTCTCGCACTGCTGAACATAAGTATTTGAACACCTGAGAAAATCAGTGTTAATATTCGGTACAGAAGCCTTTGTTTGCAATTACAGAGGTCAGACGTTTCCTGTAGTTCCTGACCAGGTTTGCACTGCAATAGGGATTTTGGCCCACTCCTCCACATAGATCTCCTCTAGATCTGTCATGTTTCGGGGCTGTCACTGAGCAACAGAGTTTCAGCTCCCTCCAAAGATGTTCTATTGGATTTAGGTCTGGAGACTGGCTAGGCCACTCCAGAACCTTGATATGCTTCTTACGGAGCCACTCCTTGGTTCTCCTGGCTGTGTGCTTCGGGTCGTTGTCATGTTGGAAGACCCAGCCACGACCCATCTTCAATGCTCTGACTGAGGGAAGGAGGTTGTTGCTCAAAATCTCACAATAAATGGCCCCATTCATCCTTTACTTAATACAGTGCAGTCGTCCTGTCCCCTTCGCAGAAAAGCACCCCCAAAGCATGATGTTACCACCCCCATGCTTCACAGTAGGGATGGTGTTCTTGGGATGCAACTCATCCTTCTTTTTCCTCCAAACACGATTGAAGTTAGACCAAAAAGATCTACTTTGGTCTCATCTGACCACATGACTTTCTCCCATGCCTCCTCTGGATCATCCAGATGGTCATTGGCAAACTTCAGACGGGCTTGGACATGTGATGACTTGAGCAGGGGAACCTTCCGTGCAATGCATGATTTGAAACCATGAGGGCGTAGTGTTCTACCAACAGTGACCTTTAAAACTGTGGTCCCAGCTCTCTTCATGTCATTGACCAGCTCCTCCCTTGTAGTTCTGGGCTGATTCCTCACCTTTCTTATCATCAGTGATACCCCACGAGGTGAGACCTTGCATGGAGCCCCAGTCCGAGGGAGACTGACAGTCGTCTTTAGCCTCTTCCATTTTCTAACAATTGCTCCAACAGTTGATCTATTTTCACCAAGCTGCTTGGCAATTGCCCCGTAGCCCTTTCCAGCCTTGTGGAGGTCCACAATTTTGTCTCTGGTGTCTTTTGACAGCTCTTTGGTCTTGCCCATGGTAGTAGTTGGCGTCTGGCTGACTGTGGGGTGGACAGGTGTCTTTAAAGAGCTCAGACAGGTGCTACTAAGTTAGATTAATGAGTGGAGTAGAGGTGGACTTTTTAAAGGCGCAGTAACAGGTCTTTGGGAGCCAGAATTCTTGCTGTTTCTCAGGTGTTCAAATACTTATGTTCAGCCGTGCGAGACAAATACATTCTTTACAAATCATACAATGGGATTTCCTGAATTTTTTTTTTAAATTCTGTCTCTCAGAGTGGGAATGCACCTACAATGTGAATTTCAGACCCCTCCATGATTTCTAAAATGGAGAACTTGCAAAATCGCAGGGTGTTCAAATACTTCTGTTCCTCAATGTACATGGCAGCTGTTATATTTTTCTCCCTCTGAGGTGTGCCTGGCTCTGTCTAGCCGGGAAGGAGACCTCTCTGCTTCAGTTAAGTCACACTTACCAGCCTTGTCCCTCCTAAAGCTTGTGACTGGACAGTGAAAAGAGAAGCAGCAGACCTTGTGAGCTCATCTCTGTCACTCTGCTCTCTCCTATCATCATGCACCTTGCACTGCAACACACCTGATTGGCTTCTAGTGCTGCATCTCCCTCCTACAGTCTAAGCTCTGCTGTTTAGGGATTACACTGCTTACATTATTTAAAGTGGTTGTAAATCCTTACATATACCCAGTGAAGTGACTGGCCTCAGGTGATACACAGAGATGAAACAAATTCTCCTACATAAATTGTACCTGTCTGTCTGCAGTCTTCTCTTCTCTATATCCATTCAAAGTGCTACATTTTAAATCTTCTCTGAGAGTTCAGAAAAAAAGGGGTGGAGAGCTGAAGTTACACTCTCAGTGGGGAGAGCTCTGAGAGATGATTGGCGGGAAGGGACACACACCCCTCCTCCACACAGGAATAGAGCTGAGGCTGTCAATCTGCTGGAGGTCCCTCCCCATCAACATTTTTTTCTCTTGGTGTCAGGAAAACTTGTCAGAAGTGACATGCTGATAGCAGAGGAATCACACTTAAAGCGGAGCTCCATCCAGAAGGGGAAATTCCGCTTTTAGGACTGCTCCCTCGCTCCCCATTAAGGATTGGCACCTTTGGGGAGCGGGGGTGATCGCCTAGGCGATCGGAAGTGGAAGGTGGCCTCCCTCCCTGTAGTCTTTTGGGACACGTGACAGGTCCCAGAAGACTACAGAACCATTCACGAAGCGCAGCGCTACTCGCACATGTGCAGTGGGCACCCGGCTGTGAAGCCGCAAGCTATCACAGCCGGGTGCCCACACTGAAGATGCCGGCCTCCAGGAATACAGTACGACCGGTGAAACAAGCTGTGGGGGGGACACCACAGGACCAAGGGACAGGTAAGTTGCTGTTTTTTTAAAAGTCAGCAGCTACAGTTTTTGTAGCTGTTGACTTTTATTTTTTGATAGGGTGAGTGGAACTCTGCTTTAATGCTCTGGCTCGAGACAAGTACACCCTATAGAGGGATATGCTTTGTTCATATGTCATGTCTCAGGTTTACAACCAGTTTAAAAAACACATTTAATGATGTAATAATAAATATATTATTTGTGTCTTTATGTGCATGGAGTTCCACTTTTTAAACAATTTTAAGCAATCTTTGTTTTACAAATGAACATTTAATACAAGGCAAAGGATTCACAGATCATTGTGGGCACTTAGTACGACAGATGCTACCCGAAATAAAGCTGGCTTTGTATGACTGAAACCTACAGTAAGTCAGACTGGGTTGTCCTATGAGAGTGATATTACAGCTTTGACTCATTCATTTTTTATTTTTTTTTAGTGAACATTTAATTGTGAACAAACTTTAGATCTATGAATTATTCATAGTCTAGAAAATGTGATAAGGAGTCTGCTACTCCACCTGATATTGCATCAAAAAGCAGAATATCAAATATTAGAATGCCAAACTTTACATTTTTCTGCCTATTTTTCAGTTGTAAACATATAAACCATTATATATATATATATATATATATATATATACACAAGCCCCCATATCTTACTTTTAGGCCTTCTTCACATGGCTGTTTAGCCGCATGTACCGGATTTCAGCTGCAAGAATCAGCAGATTCTTGTGGCTGAAATGACAGGTGCAGGTGAATAGCAGTGGCCGCTCAGCACAATCTATTGACAGGCTGATGGCAGCCATCACTGTTCACATGCAGCTTAGAGACAAGTGTCTGAACCTGAATGTAGTGAGATGCACCCAGCCTTGAACACTCGTCCCTAATTCCAGGCAACTGCTTGGGGTGCAGCTGCATGCAAACAGTGATGGCTACTGTCCAGGGGTGGACTGGCAACTCATGGGGCCCCCAGGCAATAGGAGATCCTCATGGGGCCTCTGTGTCTTCACCCACACTCAAAACCACTCCTGAAAAAAGCCTATGAAAGGTACTAGGGGCATCTCATGGGGCCCCCTACTTACCCTGGGCCCTCGGGCAGTGCCCTAGTGCCCTGCTGCTGTCAACCTGTCAATACAATTTTCAGGCTGAGCGGCCGCTGATTTTTGCATGCACCTGTTCCAGTTGCAAGAATCCACCGTTTCCTGCTGCTGAAATGTGCTGTATGCGGCTAAACTGCCAAGAGGAGGAGGCCTTAAAAGAACCTCTAGTAGGATAGTAGAAGGGCCACCATTGCTGAACTCTCCACTTTCATGCCTGTTTCTGGCTATCATACTGATTTAGTGGTTTCAATGCTTTCTCAGCCACTGACCCAAAACATGTATGTAGATCACAGGTTCTGACTTCACTTCAAGAGTCCTGATCTCCATGTTTTTGTTCTGGATCAATTTCTTAAAGCAGAGCTCCACCCAAAAGGGGAAGTTCCACTTTAAACCTTTCTTCCCCACTCCCCAATAAGGATTGGCACCTTTTGGGAGCGGGTACCTGAATTTGACAGGTACCTGCTCCCACTTCCGCTGCGATCGCCAAGGCAATCGGAAGCGGAAGTTGTCCTCCCTCCCTGTAGTCTTCTGGGGCACGTAACAGGTCCCAGAAGACTACGGGGCCATTCACAAAGCGCAGTGCTTCTCGCGCATGCGCAGCACTTGGCTGTGAAGCCACAAGCTGTCAAGGCCGATGCGCACACTGAAGATGCCGGTACCACGGAGAGAAGACGGCCAGTGAAACCAGCCGTGGTGAGGACACCGCTGGACTGAGGGACAGGTAAGTGGCTGTATTTTAATAGTCAGCAGTTACAGTTTTTGTAGCTGCTGACTTTTTTTTTTTTCAGTTGGATCGCCGCTTTAAGTATTAAAGCCCGAGACAGACGAAAAACAATTTTCAAATGAATCTCAGCAACGGGCATCTTCATTTTTTGCTCTCTACAGATTTACCTTTTGTCATAGTTCCATCTAGTAGATACAGCTATGGCAGCTATTCTGCGCCATGGTGTGACTTACAGATATATCACATGCAACAGTAGCATAACCAAGTGACAAGCCACCACTCATACGTACATAAAGGGTGCATTGTTCAGTGTGTATATTTACAGGTATGGGTGTGTAATATATCTTTCTCATCACTTCAGATGTATTTTATGCTCACTGGTCCATTAATCTGCTTCTTCTGTGATGTCATAGGTCCTGAGTGAGGTCACCGAGGACAACCTTATAGACCTTGGCCCTGGATCACCAGCTGTGGTCAGCCCAATGGTGGGCAACACTGCCCCGGCATCACTAACCACCCAGCTTGGTGGACTTGGTAATGTTTTGCTACTGATACAAGCCTAGACTGTTATATAGCAACATGTAGCAGCTCATTTTATGGGAGCATTCTGTGGGCCAGGAAGGCTTTCCTGCTTGTTAGAGCTTATACTCCGAACTGATCTGCTGGGTCACTGCTGAAGAGGGGAGAAGGTGTAGGGAAGGGGTCCTCATACTTTTTAAACAGGGGGCCGGTCCACGGACCTTCACACTGTTGGGGGGCCGGACTATAGTTTGAAAAAAAAATATGAACAAATTCCTATGCACACTGCAATGCACTATACACTAACACACTGTACTCTGATACACTGGACACCGCAACGCACTGTACTCTGATACACTGGACACCGCAACGCACTGTACTCTGATACACTGGACACCGCAACGCACTGTACTCTGATACACTGGACACCGCAACGCACTGTACTCTGATACACTGGACACCGCAACGCACTGTACTCTGATACACTGGACACCGCAACGCACTGTACTCTGATACACTGGACACCGCAACGCACTGTACTCTGATACACTGGACACCGCAACGCACTGTACTCTGATACACTGGACACTGCAACGCACTGTACTCTGATACACTGGACACCGCAACGCACTGTACTCTGATACACTGGACACCGCAACGCATTGTACTCTGATACACTGGACACCGCAACGCACTGTACTCTGATACACTGGACACCGCAACGCACTGTACTCTGATACACTGGACACCGCAACGCATTGTACTCTGATACACTGGACACCGCAACGCACTGTACTCTGATACACTGGACACCGCAACGCATTGTACTCTGATACACTGGACACCGCAACGCACTGTACTCTGATACACTGGACACCGCAACGCACTGTACTCTGATACACTGGACACTGCAACGCACTGTACTCCGATACACTGGACACTGCAACACACTGGACACCGCAACGCACTGTACTCTGATACACTGGACACCACAATACTCTGTACACTGACACCGCAATGCACTGTACTCTGTAACGCACTGGACACCGCAATGCACTGTACACTGCAATGCACTGTAGTCTGATACACTGGACAACGCAATGTTTTGTACACTAACGCACTGTACACTGACACCGCAATGCACTGTGCCTGGTGCGCACTCCTCCTTTCCTGTTGCTCCTCTGGCTGCAGCAGGTGAAATCCTGGGCTTCCAGGCTGCCGCTCGCTGGGTCCTCCTGGACGAGCGTCTTGCCAGCCAGTGCCGGGTTTTCTTCTTGTTTTCTGGCTGGCCCGGCAGACCGAATAAACTTCTTTGGCGAGCTGTATCTGCCCCACGGGCCATAGTTTGAGGACCCCTGGTGTAGGGGTTAGCAGGGGGATATGAGCTGCTGAGGCACTGCTGGTAGGGGCGGCTGAGATTTATTTATTTCAGGTACTTATATAGCACTGTCAATTTACGCAGCACTTTACATATATATTGTACATTCACATCAGTCCCTAACCCTCAAGGGGTGTACAATCTAAGGTCCCTAACTCACATTCATACATACACATACTAGAACCAATTTTAGAGGAGCCAATTAACTTACCAGCATGTCTTTGGAGTGTGAGAGGAAACCGGAGTACCCGGAGGAATCCCACGCAGGCAATGGGAGAAAATGCAAACTCCAGGCAGGTAGTGCCTTGGTTGAGATGGGAAGATGAGCTTTTGAGACACTGTTGATAGGGGAAGCAGGGGTACTGAGCTGCTTTTTGAGAGCACCTTGAAGGTTGTCAGTGTTTGCGCCGTGAGCTTTAAGGATGAATTGCTCCACAATGCCTGCAGCCACAGTGGTGAGTTAAGGCATACTGTAAAGCTCATTTACTGCTTGTTGTGAATATATACATATTAAGATGTGCACCACATGGCTACAGGTCCACTAGTACTTCTCTCTGTCAATTTTATGATTGTGCCTAACACTAGTTTCACATGCTTGGAGGTAGCATTGTATCAAAACCATTGTCTCTGACCATTGTGTGTTTGAGAGTTTTTAAAGTGTACCTGTCATGAGAGAAACCCATTGGCTACCATTACTGACTTCTATCCAAAACTGATGAAAAAAAATCTTTCCTAAACGAGATCAGATGGACACCTGATTCTATCAGTGACTGTGGTTTTGTTTCAGATATGGGCACGAATACTGTGAGCTCTACACTTAGTACCCTCCCAGCCACTAATCCACGAGATGACTTTGATATGTTTGCACAGACAAGAACTAACTCTCTGGCTGATCAGCGGAAAAAGTAAGCAAGATTTTTTTATTGCCTGACCTTATTTTATTTAAATAATAACCCCACCCCCTTCCACTCCAAATGTTTCCTTACCTGGATCAGAGGACTATGGCCTTGCAGAAATCTTCAGCACCTCTAATTAAAATCTTATGTCTCCTGTCTGCACCTGAACAGTAGAATCCCATAGCCATCTATGGGGTTGTCTCCCGACACAGGAAGCACGCGAAAGACAGTTCCACAAACAAGATTTCATCCAGAGGTGCTAAAGTTTTCAGTCGGCTGTTGTCGTCCAGTCTAGGTAAGGATAAGTCTGCCACAGGGGTGGTTTTAGGGGGGCAAAGGGATAACTACTCTTTTTGAGTCCTGTGTGATATAAAAAATAATGGTGAAAAGACTATAAAGATTACGAACAAAATAGCACTGTGTGAAAACGAAGGCAAAATCGTAGTAAATCCAACAAGTGTGTTAATGTATAAAAGACATCTCATAGTTCACATATGGCATGTTAAATAACCAAAATGAAAATTGCAGACTCTACCCCTTTACGTGTATAATCCTGCAACAGGACTTCTTCAGAAGGTACTGAAGAAGTCCCGCTGCAGGACGATGCGCGTAAAGGGGTAGAGTCTGCGATTTTAATGATTCCACCATGCTAATGGGTGCTTGGAATCCATGAGACCTCTCATGAGCAATGAAAAATAAAATTTTTGGTCTATAGACTCGTTGAAATGCCTCAACATTAAAATACTAAATGATTGTGTAGTAAAACCTTTATTTTTCTCCCCCATTAAGGCACGTCAGCTCTTCTCTTTTCAGAACCCAATTTGTGGGTGTTCTTGCTGCTGCCAATGGTCCTCTGCATGTGTTCTACTGGGATAAGGAGTCGTGTACTGACACGCCCCTCCCCCCTATATGATTATTAAAGTGGAGTTCCACTCACGCAGTTAAAAAAATAAAAGTCAGCAGCTACAAAAACTGTAGCTGCTGACTTTTAAAAAAACAGCCACTTACCTGTCCCTCGGTCGGTCCGGCGGTGTGTCCCCTGCAGCCCGTCTTCTCTCTCTGACGCTGGCATCTTCAATGTGGGCACCCGGCTGTGACAGCTTGCGGCTTCACAGCCGGGTGCCCACTGCGCATGCTGAGTAGAGCTGCGCTTCATGAATGGTCCTGTAGTCTTCTGGGACCTGTCACGTGTCCCAAAAGACTACAGGGAGGGAGGGAGGACACCTTCCACTTCCAATCGCCTAGGCGATCGGAGCGGATGTGGGAGCGGGTACCTGTCTGATTCGGGTACCTGCTCCCCAAAAAAGGTGGCAATCCTTAATGGGGAGCAGGGGACCAGACTTTAAAGTGGAACTTCCCCTTTTGGGTGGAGCTCCGCTTTAACTGTGACTTCTTACTGTAGACGTTTAGATGACCCGTTTGTTCTTTTTCTCTGTGCCAGTGTAACCTACGAAGACCCTCAAGCTCTTGGAGGGCTGGCATCGGCTCTGGATGTCCGGCAGCAGAACACAGGAGGGGTAAGTAGCCCTGTCTCAACTTGACTTTCCTGTTCCAACACATCTGAAGATGGGAAATTAATAAGGCCTACTCGTACTTTTGTCACCTCCTAGCCAGTACATGAAAAGTGAAAGTGTTACTCTTACGCAGATACACCCTGTAGTACAAGATCCTTTATCTATGATTCATGTGTTACGTGATAATGAGGCCAGTGTGGCAGTGTACTCTGATCTCTCGGGCAATGCTGTGTGCAGGGCAGAGCTGCCAGTAAGGGGGTAGCACCAGTCCTCCTGTACTGAGCTGGGCCAGCAGGGGCGCCCAGGCAGCAGGGGAATCGGATATGGGCAGGAAAAGGGGGTGAGCAGTGTGATGAGTGGGCAATTACAGGTACCAATCCCCTGTGTGTCTCTCCCTGCAGCAGCTGAAATACGAAAAGAGGGAGAAGAGGAGAAGCTGGCTTTCAGCTGCTGCAGGGAGACACAAAGGGGATCAGTTCTGTAAATATCCCCTGCCTCACCGATCACCCTGCCTCTCCAGGATTCAATTCCCCCTGCTGCCCGGCCCCCCTGTGTAGGCTGTACTGAGTCCCATGACTTCTAACAGCAGCCCGGGTTCATTGTGCAATAAAAACAAACAAACACATTTCTAATCAATGATGGGAGAATCGTGCAAAAAATGTAATTGAAAAAGAAATGAGCGTGAGCTGTGACCTGGAAAGAAAAGAAAATTCTTGGCAACGGAAATTCTTTTCTGTAGCAACATGAGGTGGAATTAAAGGCTCGTTTGGTCGAATTTTGAAATCAATGGTGGCCCCATCGGATTACAAAATGCACAAAATTTCCGATTTTCTCTAATTTTTTTAGGAATTCGACCCATGTACGGCCTGCATAAGTATTCAGACCCTTTGCAACAACACTTGAAATTTTAGCTCAGGTGCCTCCCATTTCCCTTGATCGTTGCTGAGATGTTTCTACACCTTGATTGGAGGCCACCTGTAGTAAATTAAATTGATTGGATGTGATTTGGAAAGGCACACGCCTCTCTATAAAAGGCCTCACAGCTAACATACTGTATCAGAGCAGAAGCCATGAGGTCAAAGGAACTGCCTGCAGAGCTCAGAGACAGGATTATTGCAAAGGCACAGATCTGGAGAAGGCTACAAAAAAATTTCTGCTGCACTGAAGGTTCGCAAGAGCACAGTGGCATCTGCGGTTCTCAAATGGAAGAATTTTGGCACAACTAGGACTCTTCCAAGAGCTGGTCACCCAGCCAAACTGAGCAGTCGTGGGAGAAGGGCCTTAGTAAGGGAAATGACAAAGAACTCGATGGTCACTTTGACTGAGCTCCAGAGATCCTGCGTGGAGATGGGACGAAGTTCCAGAAAGACAACCATCGCTGCAGCCCTCCACCGAGCTGGGCTTTATGGCACAGTGGCTAGACAGAAGCATCTCCTCCGTGAAAAACACATGAAAGCACGCTGGAGTCTGCAAAAGCTTTAAACTCATAGTATCGGGCTTCAACGTAACAAAATTGAAAAAAGTGAAGGGGTCTGAATACTTGATGAATGCACTGTATATACACGTGGAAAATTACATAAGGTTCAAGATGGGTAGAAATATAGCAACCAGTAGGATTCCTTGGGACCATCTACTATCATCAGTGAATTGCGTAAAATTCACCTGGATATGTTGGATGGGGGATGGGTGGTATGGTAAGAATGGGGAAGGAGATGGTAAATTGTATTACATGACCCCCGGTTCACATCTATGCGGCCGTGCGGGCCACGTTTTTGCACAGGCACGAAAGCCCATTCATTTGAATGGACTCCCATGCCCGTGACACGCAGCATGGGAGTCCTTGCATTTCTTTGGAAAACGCAACCCGCACGGCAACCTCGGTTCCCAGTACGGTTGCGTTTTCCAGTGCGGGCGAACTAATGGCACCCGCCCGCGGGTCCGCAATCCTCTGTGCGGGTGGTGCAGGTGCATGAATTTTCATACGGTTCCACAACGGCACCACCCGCACAGATGTGAACCTAGGGTGAGTATCTCGTAGGTACAGCTACAAAATCTCAGGAGGTGATTATAAACAATTGATTGACTTATGTGGAGGTGAATATCAGGATACATTGACATAGTTGCCATGACCTGGAGATATAAATGGTGATCTTCTAGGCCAGCCTTTCTCAACCAGGGTTCCTCCAGAGGTTTCTAGGGGTTCCCTAACAAATGAGCAGCTTCTGCCTCTCAGATAAGTTCCCACTGACGAGAATAATCTTTTTAGCTATCTGTAAGGAGCATTCTTCCCAATGACCACAAGTGTAAGGAGCATTCTTCCCACTGACCACAAGTGTAAGGAGGTAATTCTTCCCAATGACCACAAGTGTAAGGAGCATTCTTCCCAATGACCACAAGTGTAAGGAGGTAATTCTTCCCAATGACCACAAGTGTAAGGAGCATTCTTCCCAATGACCACAAGTGTAAGGAGGTAATTATTCCCAATGACCACAAGTGTAATGAGCATTCTTCCCAATGACCACAAGTGTAAGGAGCATTCTTCCCAATGACCACAAGTGTAAGGAGGTAATTATTCCCAATGACCACAAGTGTAATGAGCATTCTTCCCAATGACCACAAGTGTAAGGAGCATTCTTCCCAATGACCACAAGTGTAATGAGCATTCTTCCCAATGACCACAAGTGTAATGAGCATTCTTCCCAATGACCACAAGTGTAATGAGCATTCTTCCCAATGACCACATGTATAAGGAGCATTCTTCCCAATGACCACAAGTGTAATGAGCATTCTTCCCAATGACCACAAGTGTAAGGAGCATTCTTCCCAATGACCACAAGTGTAAGGAGCATTCTTCCCAATGACCACAAGTGTAAGGAGCATTCTTCCCAATGACCATCACACTAATGTACCCTGAGCTGTGAATACAGTAATTATTTTTAGGGGTTCCTTGACAACTGAAAGTTATTTCAAGGATTCCTTTGTGTTAAAAGGTTGGTAAAGGCTGCTATAGGCAGTCCAGCAGGTCCATACTATGCAAAATTTGTCAGACATTTGATTCTAAGGCTACATTCACACCCGAACGTCGCGTTTTTTTCAGGCGTTTTGTCACACGTTTGTATGCACGTTTTTGTACAGCGTTTTTTAAAGTGTTTGTAAGCTTTTGCCATTTTTTTAAGAGCCAACGGAGAAAAATATCATCTGTTTCATCATTTGCTGCTAGGTTTTCAGCTTTTTTTTTTTTTTTTTTTTTTTTTCATCAGCTTTTTTTTAATTTTTAGTCATTTTTTTTTGGGGGGGGGGGAAATAGGGGGATTAGGGCTTACATTTAGGGTTAGGGGTTAGGTATCAGGGTTGGGAGTTAGAGATAGGGGTTAGGTGTTGGGGTCAGAGTTTGGGTTAAGGGTTAATATTTTATTTATTGTCTTTTTTTTTTCGTTAGGGTTTTTATTTATTATTATTATTATTATTATTATTATTTATTAATTTATCTATTTTTTTTGTTAGGATATTTATTATTACATATTTATAATTTTTATTTATTTGTGTATTTATTTTATTTATTTAACGTTTATTACATTTTTTTTATTATTATTATTATTATTTTAAAAATTTTTAGTTTGAGCAGAAAAACATTCCAAAGACATGCCACTCGCACTATTAATTTCTATGGAATTAAAAATGCGCATATCTGCCCGATTTGTACGACAAAAAAAGCTCCAGGCCTTGTTTGAGCTTCAGGTGTTTGGCTTCAAGCGACTTGGAGTGGGGATATGAACTATCTCCATGGAGAATAATTGATTTTTTTTTTTCTCAAGTGTTTTGAAGCTTCGAGCTACAAGTCCCTCGGGTGTGAATGGGGCCTAAAGGTTTTTGTTGTTTTCTAGCTGCCCTGTGAGTTAAGGTACAAAGTCAAAATGAGTCTTTTTGATATATACAGGTAATGATAAATGATCAGATCTTCCGTTTTCACACAGGCAGTGCTGTAGTTCAGCAGTCTACCTATTACCTCTGAGAACATTTCTCACACTCAGTGTCTTTTACATGGATCGAAATTCAGGATGTTTAGCGGGGACTGGCTGAATTTTGATCCATGCATGAGCAGGCTGATTGTACCCATGTCGATCCATCGATCGGCTTGGGTACAACCAGCCTGTCGGATGTTTCTACATGCGATTACTGCCAGCGGCTACAGCCACTAGCAGTGATCGTATTCTGCTGGCCTTCCTGTGCTCCCCCTACTGGCAAAATTCTATAATGCGGCGGGAGACACTCCCCCCATCCATACTGACTGTGTTGATGGGGAATTAAGCGATTTTCTTTCCTTCTGTGGTGGAAGGAAAGAAAATCAAGTAATCTATGGTCTGCTTAAAGCAGAACTCTGGGCAAAATTCTTATTTTTCCATGCAGTGGGGCTGTGCCTGCACTGCATAGATTAACTGTTCGTTTTGTCCAGGGGCACAAGGTATATCTGTACGTACCCCGAAAACGGCGTACCCCCAGGTCCAGCAGTGGACTATTCCTGCTATCCTCACATCCAGAGCCGGTCTATGGGCATGATGACGTCAGGACCAGTCCATTCACAAGATCTGCTAGCATGCAGGGAGATAGGAGTGGCGGGGACCAGTCTTGCACTCGAAAGATCGGTGGAGTATATCTCTGCCATGCAATCTCCTAGACAAAAATGAGCAGTTAACCCGTGCAGTGCAGGCAACGCCCCATGGGAAAATTAAAATTTTGACCGGAGTTCTTTTTTAAGAGTTTGGCCAAGTATGTTCTCAGAGGTAGTAGGTGAACTTTTACCTTTACAACCCACTGGGATTATCATCAAAATGTAAAATCATTTCTAGCCTACTCCTCTTAATCTGAATAGATTACTTTGTGAAGATCCCACACATTTCCTTCCTGGAATTCTGTGACACGTAGTCACTATGCCCTGTAAGTAGGCACTGCTGTGTCACACATTTCACAGAGCCTGCCTTCTGAACCACAGAGGTACTGAGAGGAGGAGTGTCAGGAGGCGGAGTCAGTACAGCAATCACTGCTTGCAGACAGCAAGGTACCATGGGATGTGTAGCCCTTAGAAATGGAGAAGAAGCTGCAAAGAATGCTGGAAATTCAGAAAGTTGTGGAAAGAGATGGCCAGCAGAGAGGCAGCGCTCATAGATTTCTCAAGTAAACTTATATTAAATTGTTTGTATTGTTATTACAGTGCTGATGTCGCACAATGAAAGTATATACGCTGCGACTAGAGATTTCTTTTGAAGTAGAACTACATTGGTATCTCGGTTTACGAAATTAATGCGTTCTCCGGGACGTTTCGTATTGCAAACAGTTTTGTAAACCAAAACGCAGTTTCCCATAGGAATGCATTGCAAAACCCCTCCACACTCGATGCCGCGTGCTACCCACAGACTCCAGCAAGCACGGGGGGCGGTGCTATAAACCTCCCAGGCGCAATGCATCTTGGGGAAACTTGCTTTGTATTGCGAACAAAATTCGTAAACCGAGCCATTATTTTCAATGGATTTTCATTCGTAAACCAAAAATTACGTTAACCGAGGTGTTTCGTAAACCGAGGTACGCCTGTATAGGCAAAACATTTTTTTTTTTCCATTCTGGATAGAGTAAGGGAGGGTATAACCCATGTCCATCCCCATTGCAGAGATTTCCCTTCACTTCCTGTCCCATAGCCAAACAGGAAGTGAAAGGAAATCCCTGCAAATTAAGGGGGACCGCCCCAGGTCACTAAAACTAGTTGAAAGATTTCCCCTCTATTACTTTTCTGAGGACAACCCACAATTTGGTATTTTCTTTTACTTTCACTTTCAATGATAGCTGTAAACAGGACAAATAGAGAGGCGGAATCTCCTTCACACACACAGCAGTGAACACTGACAGGGGTTCTAATCCTTCTCCACTCCATCCAAAACTAAAGAAAACGTTTTGCCTTTAGCTATACTTAACCCCTTCCCGCCGGCGCCTCCCGGCCCTTTAAGAGTTTCAGACGCCGGGAGGCGGGGCGGGTGGGGTGTGGTTAAGGGATCATGTGACAGCCGTGACGCAATGGACAGGGATGGACATGGTCAGCAACAATACTCAGGGAGGCCGTGGGGTTTAAAACGATGCTCATTTGGTACTAAGGGTCCCAAAGTGGGCCAAGAAAATCTTCCCCACACCATGACACCACCACCACCAGCCTGGACCATTGATACAATGCAGGATGGATCTACCACACCGTGACACCACCACCACCAGCCTGGACCATTGATACAATGCAGGATGGATCCACCACACCATGACACCACCACCACCACCAGCCTGGACCATTGATACAATGCAGGATGGATCCACCACACCATGACACACCACCACCACCACCAGCCTGGACCATTGATACAATGCAGGATGGATCCACCACACCATGACCCCTCCACCACCACTAACTGAAATATCAATTTTTGGTGAACTTTCTATTTTAATACTGTAATGACGATCAAGGCATACAGCCATAGGGCCTCGTAGCCGGTTAGGCATGCTTGGAGTTGTAGTTCTTTAGTTTCATCTGGCCACACTTGCTTCTAGAGGCTTCCAGCGCAGCTATTTAATGTTTTTAATCTCTCTCTGTTTCTCTGCTGTCCCTTTCCTTCTCTGTGCTGGGAACGGTCTGGGTTTCATCCAGAGGAGAGGGAGAGCTGGCAGCTCAAACTTGGAGCCAATAGACCAGTGGCTCATTACACAAGGAATGGTGAGCGGAATACCAGGAGTCTAGTTACCCCCCCCCCCTTTCCTGCCCCTGTAACCATCTGACTCCTTCCTCGTCCGTGGCATTTTTACTGACCAACAACACAGGCAGACAGGGTCAGGAATGCAAAAAGCCCGTTGTCTGTCTGTGCCTTCCACTAATACATTTTTACACCATAACCTTTGTGTAGAAAAGCTGACACACGTGACATCATGACATGGCTACTTACAATGCTCATAACCAGGAGTGTATTTACCACAAGGCAAACAAGGCATTTGCCTAGGGCGGCATTTTTCTGGGGGCCACACTCCCCCAGGAAAAAGGGACCTATGCGGCATGGGAACCAAGTGGGATCCAAAAGAGGCTGTGGGCTGCTTGATGTTGTACGGAGAGCCTGAGACTCTCGTTCCCGGAGATGTCCAGAGCTGTGAAGGTGTGTGTTTCTCTCTGATGCCGGGGGGTGTGTGTTAATGGAACGTTCTCTGGGGTGGGAAAAAGGGGGCAGGGGTGTTGGTCACTGTCAGGCTCTCCGGGGGAGGGGGTTAGGGGGTCTGTTGTTGCTCGGTGTCAGGCTCCTCCAGGGTGGGGGAAGGTAGGGGGTCTGGTGTTGGACAGTGTAAGGCTCTCTCCTCCAGGGGGGGGGGGGCGTCTGATTTTTGTGTTGCCTAGAGCAGCAAAAAACCTAAATGCACCATTGCTCATAACGAATCGCTCGCTAGGGGTTAATGCACTTTGTGTGATGCAAAATCATTGGTGTGCAGTACCTTCTGTCAGTCTTTAGGGGGCGGCAAAGGATTTACTTGTGTAGGAAAATCACTGTTTCATTGTTGGTAATATAACTAGATAGATCTTTGGGGCATAAAAATATTATTATTATTATACAGGATTTATATGGCGCCAACAGTTTGTTTGTGCAGCACTTTACAGCATGAAGGCAGACATTGCAGTTTCAATACAATTCAGTACAAGGGGAATCAGAGCTCCATGCTCATTAGAGCTTACACTCTAAGAGATCGATTGACCCTTTAGATTGTATACTGAGCCCTATTCATAACGAGACAATTTTCTTTACTTCACTAGGCTTTAATCACTTGTCTACTGGGGCAATGTCTTAATTTTTTTGCACACATGTTAAAATCTGCTTAGTGACACTTAGTGCTCTGGATTGAGACAAGTACACACTATAGGGGGATATACTTTGTTCATATTTCATGTCTGCTCTGGACTGAGACAGGTACACACTATAGGAGGATATGCTTTGTTCACATTTCATGTCTGCTCTGGACTGAGACAAGTACACACTATAGGGGGATATGCTTTGTTCATATTTCATGTCTGCTTTGGACTGAGACAGGTACACACTGTAGAGGGATATGCTTTGTTCACATTTCATGTCTGAGGTTTACAACCATTTTTTAAACTAAATATATTAAAGCTACACCGTGTTTTTACAGTACAGGGCACCCCTGAATGTATAGTGCATCTTACTGCCCAGGATGAACCAACCCAAAGGGGATTGTAGCTGTATTAGTGCACTTGCAGCAACACAGCAGAGTACTGAAGCACAGCTTTGTCTACCAGTGCTGCTTGTCCTGAATATCATTTTTATTGAACATGTTTTTATCAGAACAAATAAAACAAACATTTCCTATTTCCCAAACCCTCCTTCCTCCCATCCCCGTCCTTAGTCCTGGTTCAGACAAGGAAGGTGTGTGGCCATTTTAGCCACATTGTCCGTGTAGAAGTGTCAGCGGAAGTTCTGCACATACTTCTTACCACAAATCCTCCCTGATGCACTTTCCTGCTTCTGAAAACTGCTTTCATAAGTTGAAGCCCAATTGTACCCTAGCCTAAAACTTTTCCAGCAGCTTCCTTGTACATTACAATGGTAAGTGATCAGAGTCTTACCTTCCATGTAGCGTCATGCAGCAGAGGCGGACTACTGCACTCTGTGTCTTCCTCACTGCTGCAGTCCGATTCTCCCCTTGCGAGTCCGACTCTCCCCTTGCGAGTCCGACTCTCCCCTTGCGAGTCCGACTCTCCCCTTTGCGAGTCCGACTCTCCCCTTTGCGAGTCCGACTCTCCCCTTTGCGAGTCCCACTCTCCCCTTTGCGAGTCCCACTCTCCCCTTTGCGAGTCCCACTCTCCCCTTTGCGAGTCCCACTCTCCCCTTTGCGAGTCCCACTCTCCCCTTTGCGAGTCCCACTCTCCCCTTTGCGAGTCCCACTCTCCCCTTGCCTTTTTCTTGGGCATAGCTTCCCAAGTTCAGTTCCTCCCAGTTCAGGGCTTGTTAAGTCCCACGCTCCCCTTGCGAGTCCGACTCTCCCCTTGCGAGTCCCACTCTCCCCTTGCGAGTCCCACGCTCCCCTTGCGAGTCCCACGCTCCCCTTGCGAGTCCCACGCTCCCCTTGCGAGTCCCACGCTCCCCTTGCGAGTCCCACGCTCCCCCCTTGCGAGTCCCACGCTCCCCTTGCGAGTCCCACGCTCCCCTTGCGAGTCCCACGCTCCCCTTGCGAGTCCCACGCTCCCCTTGCGAGTCCCACGCTCCCCTTGCGAGTCCCACGCTCCCCTTGCGAGTCCCACGCTCCCCTTGCTTTTTTCTTGGGCACAGATTCCCAAGTTCAGTTCCTCCCAGTTCAGGGCTTGTTAAGTCCCACGCTCCCCTTGCGAGTCCCACGCTCCCCTTGCGAGTCCCACTCTCCCCTTGCGACTCCCACGCTCCCCTTGCGACTCCCACGCTCCCCTTGCGAGTCCGACTCTGAACATTTCTCTTGGTTGTAAAAATATATTGCAAATGTTTTTTTTGTTTTTGTTTTTTTGTATGTTGAACATAAATGGGCTGCCTAATGCAGAATGGAAAAATCACATACATTGTAATGCACATGTGGTGTTAACAAGCCCTGAACTGGGAGGAACTGAACTTGGGAAGCTGTGCCCAAGAAAAAGGCAAGGAGAGGACAAGTGACTAGCCATCCATATTGCCTGTGGTCTCCCTGCAACTGATCTTGCCATACCTTGTTCTGCCTTGTATCTGTGTGTGTGGGGGGAGGACCATCGTGATAGACTGAGGGCTTTGCTTCCCTATGTCAGAGCATCCAGCAAGGAGAACAAATGGCAGCACAGTAGTGACATCAGCAAATCTCACTCCAAATCTAGTTAGATTATCAGTCAGAGGCAGCAGTGCCTTAGATGATCTCACACTGCAGATATACAGCTATGAGGCTGCAGCCACAGGGGAGCCCAGGCACCATTACCAATGAGGAAGCACACTGCTATTTTCAGAGGTTATTCCACACTAAAGGTAAATCTTTAAGGTTACTGCTTCAGCATGATTGAAGGATAAGTTCACCTTTGAGACATGTTACACATTACACACCCGTTTTTAGGCTACGCCCACCGCTCCCCCTCCCTCTGACAGATAATATGGGGAGGTTTCCCCGTACTATCTGTTGGATTTGAAAACAGCATGGCCATGCGGGGCTCCACTGTCATGGCCGAGTCACTCATTCAGTGTTTTGTGAAAGAGTGCCCACAAGTCCTGACAGCCTTGGCAGCTGATGGCTTGTAGTTTTTAGTGAACTACTACAGTGCTGTGGAGGGGTGTGATAGTTCACTGAAGCTTCCTGTCAGTATATCTGCTTGCGCATACATCCCCTACACCCCATACATCTCCTACACCCCATACATCTCCTACACCCCATACATCTCCTACACCCCATACATCTCCTACACCCCATACATCTCCTACACCCCATACATCCCCTACACCCCATACATCCCCTACACCCCATACATCTCCTACACCCCGTACACCCCATACATCTCCTACACCCCATACATCCCCTACACCCCGTACATCTCCTACACCCCATACATCTCCTACATCCCCTACACCCCATACATCTCCTAGATCCCCTACACCCCATACATCTCCTACATCCCCTACACCCCATACATCCCCTACACCCCGTACAATCCTGTACATCCCCTACACCCCATACATCCCGCACATCCCCTACACCCCATACATCCCCTACATCACGTACATCCTCATACATCCCCTACACCCTCATACATCCCCTACACCTCATACATCCCCTACACCCCGTACAATCCTGTACATCCCCTACACCCCATACATCCCCTACACCCCATACATCCCCTTCACCCCCTACACCCTCATACATCCCCTACACCCTCATACATCCCCTACACCCTCATACATCCACTACACCCTGTACATCCCCTACATCCCATACATCCCCTACATCACGTACATCCCCTTCACCCCCTACACCCTCATACATCCCCTACACCCTCATACATCCCCTACACCCTCATACATCCCCTACACCCTGTACATCCCCTACACCCCCCCGTACATCTCTGTGCAGTAAGCAGATATTCTAACAGGTCTGCAGGAGACCTGCATGGCATTAGCGATCTACTGATTTCTGGTGCAATGCTTTCCAGGCTCCTTTGGACAAAAATAATAAATGCACCTTTTTTTTACCTGTAAAAAAATGTGCATTTATTATTTTTGTCCAAAAGGTGAACAATTATTTAAACAATTCTAGATGTTCCCTAGAACATAGCAAAACATAACTTTTTCAAATTCAATTTCACTTTAACCACTTGCCGTCCCGCTGCTCTACATTTACTGCAGCAGGGTGGCACAGGCAGGTATGTATATATGTGACTGCCTGCTTCCAGGTCTGAGGGGTGCGCGCACATGTGTGCCCCCTGCCGACCCGTGCTGTGATTAGACACAGCTGTTTTCAGCCAGTGATTTTGGCTGAAGTCAGCTGATCGGCGGTGGACAATCACTCTCAGAGTTGTGTGTTTACAAAGCAAAGAACTCTGTGTATAGGGAACAGCGATCTGGCTGTTTCTTCTCCCTGCAAAGCAGGGCTAAAAAGCCGCCATATAGTAAAGAAAAAGCAGCACATATTACACACATTACACATTGTTAGGCACACAGTTAGCCCATTGATTGCCCCTAGATGTTAACCCCTTCCCAGCCAGTGTCATTAGTGCAGTGATAACATTAGCACTGATCACTGTATTAGTATCACTATTGAGGTCAGTTAGTGTTCCTCCCAGCCAGTGTCTGTTAGTGCCAGATTGCCCGTTACACTATCACAGTCCCACTGTAAGTTGCTGATCACCACCATTACCAGTTTAGCATCATAGCTGTGTACATTCCAGTGTATATATACCATGATTTGTAGATGCTATACCTTTTCTCACAAACCAATAAATATATACTTTTATTGGGCCCTTTTTTTTTTTTTTTTTTTTACCAAAGACGTAGCAGAATACATTTTGGCCTACATTTATGAAGAAATTAGATTTTTTTAATTCTTTATTGGATATGTTTTATAACAGAAAGTAGAAAATATTGTGTTTTTTCCCCACATTTTCAGTCTTTTTTTTTTTTTTTCGTGTTTATATTGAAAAAAAAAAACTGATCATCAAATACCACCAAAAGAAAGCTCTATTTGTGTGAAAAAACAATGAAATAAACTTCATTTGGGTGCAGTGTTGCATGACCGAGCAGTTACCAGTTAAGGTAGCACAGTGCTGAATAACAAAAATGCTCTGGTCACGAAGGAGGGAGTAAAACCTTCTGGAGGTCAAATGGTTAATGAAGCGCCGAGTCCAAGCAGTGTTATCCTGCCGTCAGTGGCAGCTCTGCTATCACAGGAAGCAATGTAGAACTGATTACATCCCTTGTCTATGTACAAGATCAAATTCCCCCAGTGACATGGCTGGTGTTTACGCTGCTGGAAGCCGCATGATCCTACTGACCCCCGCACCTGTCTAAAGTCCCTGACACGTGTGAGGTTCCATGGGACCTTGTAAAATCCAGTGTGCTGGTATGACGGCCCCAGCACGCCACCTGCTCCACCCTTCTACCTAGTAGATGTCACTCCCCATCCGGCACAACAAAGCCGGCTATAAATGGTTTCTAACCTTTGGATTGAAAACAGAGGTTTGTTGCAAACTGTATGTTTCAAAATGCATGTATAGCCACATCAAGGCGCCTGTGGAAAACACGGTACTGAAGTCTAAACTGTCTGAGCTCCCAGCGTGGGATATATACTGTATAGAGCAGTAAATACATTTATACATGGAAGAAATTGTAATCGATAAAGTAATGAGTAATCGCAAACAAGCAATTCATCATTATTTATTTTATTTATTTATTTCAGGTACTTGTATAGAGCTGTCAATTTACGCAGCACTTTACATATCTATTGTACATTCACATCAGTCCCTAACCCTCAAGGGGTGTACAATCTAAGGTCCCTAACCCTCAAGGGGTGTACAATCTAAGGTCCCTAACCCTCAAGGGGTGTACAATCTAAGGTCCCTAACCCTCAAGGGGTGTACAATCTAAGGTCCCTAACTCACATTCATACATACACATACTAGGGACAATTTAGACAGGAGCCAATTCACCTACCAGCATGTCTTTGGAGTGTGGGAGGAAACTGGGGTACCCAGAGGAAACCCACGCAGGCACAGGGAGAACATGCAAACTCCAGGCAGGTGGTGCCATGGTTGGGATACGAACCAACGACCCGAGTACTGCCAGGCGGAAGTGCCAACCATTTAGCCACTGTGCTGCCCGTCATGGATTAACTTGTTGCCACCCACGTGATACATATGTGGGGTGTCAAAAGGGTGGGCTTTAATGGCCACGCGCTGCACATATGCGTCACTTGGCGGTCGATGTTTTTGTGCTGAGAGTTTGCTCAATGCACACTTCCATCACAGAGACTGAGCTGTCAAGGACAGCTCTCAGTCCCCACTGATGAATGGTATCCGCCGGGACCAGTTTCCAATTATGTGACCGCTGTAACAGGCAATCAGAGGCCATGCTGGAGCGGTGATATAGAGCTAGGTAAGTGTTTAGGGACAGAAAAGGGTAGGACAGCTAGTGGGGCGTTTTTCATCTTCATTGGTCTCCAGCAGCCAGAAGCGGGGGCATTGATTAGTAAAGGGGCGGCAGTGGCAGCAGTCTCATGTGACAAGTCCCCAGTCTCTTAACCATCTCTTGCAACATGTCTGCAGTTCCTAACCATTCCTGAAGTGCGTCGCTAACTTCTGAACATCTCCTCCAGTATGTCAGCTGTCAGTGTGGAGAGCAGTGGTTGTCAATTTCTGAGCTAAAAGGGGCCTCAAATGCGGCCCTTGATATCACCAAAGGGCCGCACATATGTTCAACATATGTAATGCATGCAAGGACTGTCAGAGACTGCAGACCTAATAGAGGTAATGAGGGTCAGAGAGTGTGGACAGGATACATTGCTGGCGGGGGATACGTTGCAGAAGACAATAGGAAACTGGGAACATGTTACATGAGACTAGTAGAGATCAATCCTACTACCCCAATCAATGTTCCCACTACAAACTGCTGAGGATCAAAGGGCCGCAGGATGGGCACCAGGGATGTAGAGGGACCAGTTAGAGTGCCAAATAAATGTCCAAAAGTCCAATATCTTTTAATGATAAAATCAGTTCATGGCAGGAAAGTCTAAAACGGGCAACGCATTTTGGGGGTCAGAAAATCCCCCTTCATGCTCTTATAAAAGACGAGTCTGTATTCAGATATATTTAAAAGAATTCTGTTCAGCCAGTTAATACATGTGCCAATGTCGTAGTCTGACTACTTCTGTACCATTACATATGCTGAATATTGTGTATGACCCCCTGGGGATGCAGATGAGGCCCCCCCCCCCCCCCCCGTATCTAGTAAAGTAATCACCACAGCCTCAGATCAGTGAAAGGAGGACCTCATTGGCTGTAAGGTAAACAGATAATAGTGACTACAGTCTCTGGGCCCCCTTGTCTCTCACAAGTGAACAGCAAATCAGGACAGAGCCATGTTTCCCCAACATGTTTGTTCCTAACGAGTCCATTGTAACACGGGTGCCATGTTTGTTCGCTTCTTGGTTAATTTTCCACTCCGGCGTCCGTTGCTTTTTCCCATCATTGTTCATTTCACATTACCATGCTGTTAACCCCTTCCTGCCTTTCTCTAATTTGATTTCATTTTTTGTCCATATGTTTTGTTTTAACCCCAGCACATTTTACATTGTCACATATTGTTTTGTTTTTTGCATCCCGCTTTTTTTTTTTTCTTTTTCTTTTTTTTTTTTTTCTTTTTACTTTTTTTTTTTTTTTTTTAATTTCATTTTATTTTGGGCTGTCCCACCACGCCTCATGCATGCGGATGTGTTTTGGCTACACCTGCTTGCCGCAGATTCCCGTGGCGCAGGCCTCGGACATGGATGACCTAGAGGAATGGCTCGGTACAGATGTGGTGAGATTCTTCTCTGTTCTATGCTGTCTTCTAGATTCGCTCAATTAATCGTTTTTAATTAGTGCTGTCCCTAGGTGTGTATAAATGTATTCATTTTTGTGTAAAATTTCAGGTAAGGATGTTGCAAGGTGCTCATTTTTTTCTGCCTTATGGAGACCATACACTTGGCAATTTTGGGACAATTCTCAGAACCCATTTATTTTGTTTTCTCAAGACCGTTACATACAAGGCATGCCACGAATAATAACTGCTAGAAGTGCTTTTACTCTCAACCTACTATTGCTAAACCATCCAATGGTCGTTATTATACAGGATTTATATAGCGCCAACAGTTTGCTCAGCGCTTTATAATATAACAGGAGACAATACAGCAAGAATATTGGAGGGTTAGGAGGGCCCTGATCCTGGGAGCTTACAATCTAGGTATCATAACTGATCACATATGCAGCACTATGGCACCCACAGAGCAAACAGAAGCAAATATGGCTTCCTTGGCTGTAAAGAATAGGAGGGTTTAGTTCTGCTTTTTTTTAAATAGAAGGTGTGCAAAGTCTTGCAGGTTTATTTTAGAAAGCAGCCACAGTCCCAAGTAAAAAAAAAAAAAAAAAAGCCTGTCCCTCTGCCAGCATGCTGCAGAGAAGGACCTCTGTAGGGGTCTGTATGCATTCAGGTACAAAAAAAAAATAAAAAAACTTTAGTATGTAGCTCCCTCACCCCCCAGCCCCCTCTTATACTTGCCTGAGCCCAATCTCGATCCAGCAATGTTCACAAGGGCAGAGACTCTCTCAGCACTCTCCATCCTCATTGGCTCAGATACAGCAGCAGGAGCCATTGGCTATTGCTGCTGTCAATCACTGCCAGTGAGGAGGTAGCAGGGCCAAGCCACAGAGTCAGCCTGGGAGCAAGCATTTATGAGTGCCCCCATAGCAAGCCGCTTGCTATGGGGGCACTCCCCCCCATTTAGTGGGGGGAGGGGAGGAGCCAGGAGCTCCAGCAGGGGATCTGAAAAGAGGGGGATCGGGGATGTTGTTTGCAGAACCCTTACACAGAGCAAGTAAGTGTGACATGCTTGCTATTTTAATAAAAAATGAATGTTTACAATCACTTTAAATCTCTGCAATCTGCAAAACGCATCGCTGCTGACTGTAAAGCTCCTTCTTGGTGCTCTAGATCAGCATTGGGTGTGCCAGACCTCTGCTGAGAGACTAAAAAAGAAAATTGCCTGTGGCGCTCGTTCATAGATCAGGTGCTGTTAATGAATTCAGTGAAACAAGTCACTGCTGGTGTTTGAGTAACAAAGCCGGCTACTCATTGACTGAGCTTTGTAACAACGTAAACGCAAACACGTGATACAATGTAGCAAATTCTTCTTACTGTAACATGTGAGAATAAACATAATCCCGGAGGTAAGGCTGTATAACTAGACATATATACAGTACACAAACACTATGGGACTAGGCTGCCGACTCCAACCTGGTGCGGGAAGACCGATATCTGAAATGAATAAATGGGGAAGGGGAGAAAGGCGTTAAAGAAACCAATATAGTGCAGTATGTCAATGTATTAAAAAGATCATAAAAATCACATAATATTGCACTCACAAGGGTGAAGTGTTTGCAGGCATGTCATTATGGCAGGAGTCCATAGCCACAGGCAGATGGATGGCTTGATCCGCTGGGAGCTGGATGGAGAGGCAGCCACTGGAGGTGCAGAGAGGAAGGGCGCCTTAGAGAGCGGGATGCAAAGCCAAGAGCGTAGCAAAAAGTGCAAAAGCTTCAGGCGCTGTGCGCGCTAGCAAATCAGTGGATCGCTGGAACCAAAGCTTCGCTGGAAAGGACTGTCGTGCAGGAAAGGGTGAGCAGCTTGGTAACACCACCGGGGAAGTGAGTGAGTGTGTGTGACTCTAGGGAACGCATTTTTAGAAGAACAGCAAACTTCCTTCGTAAGTCATCAGGGAACGCGTTTTCGTAAGAACAGCAAACTTCCTTTGTCAGCCATCAGGGAACGCGTTTTCAGAAGAACAGCAAACTTCCTTTGTCAGCCATCAGGGAACGCGTTTTCAGAAGAACAGCAAACTTCCTTTGTCAGCCATCAGGGAACGCGTTTTCAGAAGAATGACAAACTTCCTTCGTCAGCCATCAGGGAACGCGTTTTCAGAAGAATGACAAACTTCCTTCGTCAGCCATCAGGGAACGCATTCTCAGAAGAACAACAAACTTCCTTCGTCAGTCATCAGGGAACGCGTTTTCGGAAGAACAACAAACTTCCTCCATCAGCCACTGGAGGTGCAGAAAGGAAGGGCGCCTTAGAGAGCAGAATGCAAAGCCAAGAGTGTAGCAAAAAGTGCAAGAGCTTCGCCTGCTGTGCGCGCTAGCAAATCAGTGGATCGGCGGATCGCTGAAACCAAAGCTTAGCTGGAAAGGACTGTCGTGCCGGAAAGGATGAGCAGCTTGGTAACACCACCGGGGGAGGGAATGTGTGTGACTCTAGGGAACGCATTTTCAGAAGAACAGCAAACTTCCTTTGTCAGCCATCAGGGTACGTGTTTTCAGAAGAACAACAAACTTCCTTCGTCAGCCATCAGGGAACACGTTTTCGGAAGAACAGCAAACTTCCTTCCTCAGCCATCAGGGAACGTGTTTTCAGAACAACAAACTTCCTTTCTCAGCCATCAGAGAACGCATTTTCGGAAGAACAAACTTCCTTCCTCAGCCATCAGGGAACACGTTTTCGGAAGAACAACAAACTTCCTTCATCAGCCATCAGGGAACGCATTTTCGGAAGAACAAACTTCCTTCCTCAGCCATCAGAGAACGCATTTTCGGAAGAACAAACTTCCTTCCTCAGCCATCAGAGAACGCATTTTCAGAAGAACAACAAACTTCCTTCATCAGCCATCAGGGAACACGTTTTCTGAAGAACAACAAACTTCCTTCATCAGCCATCCGGGAACGTTTTTTTTGGAAGAACAGCAAACTTCCTTCGTCAGCCCCTGATTCGCTAGTGCACACAGTGGCTGAAGCTCTTGCACTTTTTGCTACGCTCTTGGCTTTGCATCCCGCTCTCTAAGGCGCCCTTCCTCTCTGCACCTCCAGTGGCTGCCTCTCCATCCAGCTCCCAGCGGATAAAGCCATCCATCTGCCTGCGGCTATGGACTCCTGCCATAATGACATGCCTGCAAACACTTCACCCTTGTGAGTGCAATATTATATGATTTTTATGATCTTTTTATTACATTGATATACTACACTATATTAGTTTCATGGGTGCCTCTCTCCCCCCTTCCTCTTATTTTCATCTGCTGAGAGACTACTGCTTCCACACAGAGAACAAGGGTCCTTCTCTCCAGTATGCTAGCAGGGGACAGGCTTTTCTACTAATATGGTAGCTTTCTAAAGAAAAACTCAAAACATTGTGCTCACCTTTTGTTTTTTATGCACATGGATTGTATTTAGTTGATTTAAAAATAAAAGTTCAATTGGCCTTGAAGCCAACCAGCTTTTGTCCGCTTATATGATCAGATGTGGGTAGAAGAACACTTACCAGCTAGTCTGCAAAAAAAATAAAATGGAACCGTCTAACCATTTACATTAAAAACAGGTCTTTATTGCATGCATTTGCAAATCTATGTGGAAGCCGGATTGCCTCATCAGGGCTCCTCTGTATAGTTTGGTCCTAACTTTTATAGTTGAGTCTCCATAATAAAACATATATAGCAATGGATAAATTAAGGGCAGGTATGTCATGGGGCAACCCATTCCTCCATAAAAGCACACGGACACATTAGAAGTCCAGCAAGAGCACAATGGCATCTGAAGGCATCCAATGTATCCCCAAATCCAACAAGCAAGATATATAAAAATGGCAACCACACCAATTTACAACTAGCTTTTGAATGAAGGTGCACATTGAAGGACTTTGTGCAGCACAAACAGTCAAGTTTTCTCAGCCCACTCACTAGTTAGCCTGCAAAAAAAAAAAATGGCGCTGTCTAACGATTTTCATTAACGATTTTCATTAAAAACAGGGTTTGGTTGTACACATTTTCGCAGGCTAGTTGGTCTGTCGGGAAAACTTTTTTCTGTTTTTGCTGTGCAAAGCTCTTCCATATCCACCTTACTTCAAAAGCAATTTGTAAATTGAGGTGGTTGGCAGATTTGTAAAGCTTGCTCCTTTGGATTTAGGGACACATTGGATGCCTCCAGCTGGCAATATGCTCTTGCTGGGCTTCTAATGTGTCCCTGCGCCTTTAAGGAGAAATGGGTAGCCCCAAGACATACATGCTTGCTGGATCTGGCATGGGGACACATAGGGTGCCTTTAACTACCGTCGTGCTCCTGCTGGGCTTCTAATTGAGCCTATATATATATATATATATATATATAGTGCATGTTGAAATGCGTTTTTATTGCAAAATATATGAAAAATATTTTTAAAATTACATTTCAAATATACTGTATGTCTTTAAAAATACAAATCTACATTTTTGGAATGCATTTACAAAATATATGTTAAAATAATTTTTTTTTTTAAATATGTTCTTCAGATTTTTTGTAACATATAAAAAAGTCATTTTAACATATATTTTTACATATATTTGTAAATGCATTCCAAAAATGTAGATTTGTATTTTTAAAGACATACAGTATATTTGAAATGTAATTTTAAAAATAGTTTTTTCATATATTTTGTAATAAAAACGCATTTCAACATGCAGTTATTGAACTATATTGAATACGGCCAAAATTGTAGCATTTCATATATTTGGGAAGAATATTTTTAAAATATATTTCAAATATATTTTTCTTCCATGTGGGCAGAAGTGGCAGTTGGCAGCTTCCATTTATGTGATGACTGAACAGGAAGTTCAGGCAGTTGGATAATATTGACTCCAACTCTTCGACGAATTCATGTTCAGTCATCACGTAAAAAGGATGCTGCCAAAGCTGGCCATATTTGGTTCCTTTTTTTTTTTTTTTCATTCAGCCAGGGGATCATAATTCACCAATCATGAAAAATTTTCCAGCAAGCCTGTTCAACGGAAGTCAGTCTAATTTCTGTCGAGCAGGAGTGACCACACATGGAAAGAATTTCAGCTGGCCCTGCTGAACTGACCAAATTTCGATCCATCTATGGCCAACTTTGCATCCTTTAGCCTAATGGGTTAGTTCACCTTTACCAAAAAAAGGTCTACGCAGGTAAGGGGAGCTTGTAGATAAAAACAGGCTGACCAAAGTTAAATAATGCCCTTGCTACAGATATAGGCCATCTATGTACCTCCAGAACCCTGGCCCGAAAAACTCCCAAAGTTGGCATCTTCCCATCCTGCCTTGTAGCTAGGACGTCGCTTAGACACTCCCAGCTGTTATTGGTCATCCCCACCATAACAGGAGCAAACGTTTTCTATAGTTCAGATGCCCTTACATGCAATTTATCCCCCCTGTTACAGTAATTCTGAGCTCAGTGATGCTGCAACAGAGGAGATAGTGGACCACACATGGGTGGGGGGCTTGAGAGCTCACTCCTGTGGTAAAGTAGGTGAGCAGTAACTGTAGAAAGTCTACTCAGTTGGATGAGCCCAGAATTTTGTTCTGATTGGTTCCTAAACCTTTTACATGTATACCTGAACATTATTAAGGGAATTTGTGACTTTACCCAATTGGAACAAAGTGGCAGGTTCTCTTGAAAGTTCTGAATGATACTCACCTTCACTGTGCACCCCTACTGTTCTGTTCTTCTGTTGGAGCTCTGAGTCTAATCCATGTACAAGCTCCATGTTGGTCATTGTCAGAGCTTACACAAGGTTATTGCCCTGCCCCCCTCCATTGTCAGAGCTTACACAAGGTTATTGCCCTGCCCCCCTCCATTGTCAGAGCTTACACAAGGTTATTGCCCTGCCCCCCTCCCCTAAGTGACAGTGGTTGGACCTGGTGATTGTTTGCTCAAGCCCTAGCACTGCATCCTGGTAACGAAGGTCACATGCTCCCCCATAACGGAGCAGCCGGAGTGAAGGTCAGAGTGGTTGGAGAGGAGTTCTTTCAAGAGAACATGTCACTTTTTGCTGAGTGGACAAAATGACAGATTCCCCCTTATGAAAAATCTCTTATCAGTCCTTTAAAAGAGGACCAGACACCAGTATATCTGCAAATAGATGGGCTTTTGGCACATAACTCCATTCCAAGTCATTGATACAAATCTCTTATTCTTTTAAAGTTGTCTTTTTGTCACTTTGTATTCTTCAGCCAGCTTCATTGTGCATTTTCTTCTTTTTTTCTCTAGAAGGGGGAGGAGCTGGAGGAAGGAGTGACAAGTGAAGGTACGTCTTTTGTGTTTGCAGAGGAATAATCAGCTAATAAAGTTTAAAAGCAGAAATGACTTCAGGGTATAAATGCTGCTTCACAGATCTGTTCACAAATGCATCACCTGCTGTGATTTCTCCTTTTCAGAAAAAAAATGAAAAGTTGAACTAACACCGTACACCCCTCCCCCAGCGCCATACTTGCCTCCATTAGTGATGAGCTGTCAATGCCCATACAGCCGGTGTAGAGTTCCAGGAATTTGAAAACTCCACTCCCATCCACCCAACCCCGGTGCTTCTTTCTGCAGGGCTTCCAGGATGGATCAGAATGACTCTGGTTGGCCGGCACAGAGCATTGCTCCTATCTGTTCTGGAAGCCTCATATAACCAACTTGATAGCCCCACTCCCCCTCTAAAAAAAAAACAAACAGTTTACTAGGCTTTAGTTACGAATGAACACAGTGAGTGATTGATACCGATCACTTATTGTGTTCATTCAGGAAAGGAAGGGGATGGTAAATGTGACATATTTACTGGACCCTTCCTCACTCTCCATCCTGAAGGATCCTACTGTGTGCTTGCAGCTGGTGGTGGGAAGGAGAGGAGGGAAGCCAGCAGCACTGTGGGGGCACACAGAGGGTCCTGAGCAGCAGGGAGAACCGATCCCCCTCTGTATGGCTCTCTCTGCAGCAGCTGAAAGCCAGTGGGAGGGAGAGGAGTAGAAGCCTGCTTTCAGCTGCTGCAGAAAGAGCCATCCGGGGCATTGGTTCCAGTAATTCCAGCTGAAGGTACGCTCAGTGAGGAGAGCTGTGAGAGCCATTTGGAGGGAAGGGATACACCTTCCTCCACACAGCACACAGGAACAGAGCTGAGGCTGTCAATATGCTGGAGGCCCCTCCCCGTCACCATTTTTGTCTTGGTGTCAGGAAAACCTTTCACAAGTGACTCATGCTGATAGCAGAGGAACGAAGCAGACAGAAATGATACTTAGTGCTCTTATATGAGACAAGTACACACTATAGAGGGATATGCTTTGCTCATATTTCATGTCTGAGGTTTACAACCAACTGTAACCAGAAAAGCCTCTTCAAGGCTCCTGTCTGATTTAGTATCACTTTGACCCGGGGCCTGACATTTCCCGACTTCATGGCTAAGCTTCACTAAGTTCTTTCACACGGGTTGGATCCGGATTTTTCAGCAGGGGATCTGTCTGTTGATCCCCTGCTGAGCTGAGTGGAACGGGCGGATGACAGGTCCGTGTCCGCTCTTCTTATGCAGCGTGGACATAGACACAGGCCACTCAGATATATGGGCAGTCGGATGTAAAGGACTGACTGTCCTTTTACACCTGACCACCCTCTGCTCTGGCCAGATGGAGGGGAACGGATCCCCTTCCATTTGTTTTTGCCAGTTCGGATCGAATTTGAGGTAGGCGGGTGTAAATGGATACAAGTACACGACTAGAGGAGAATGGAGGGTCCAATCAGGTCCGCGTGAAAAACAGACAGGTGGACTGCTCATGTGAAAGGCCATAACTTTCCTCCACTGTCCAATGAGACTGCTCCAGTGGCTAGGAAGGGCACTTTCATTGAACGAGGGGGAGGAGAGGGGCAGTTGATGGACCTTAGCCATGAAGTCAAGAAAAGTCAATAAATGAAAATAAATCGGAGAGAAGCAGTTGCAAAAGTAAAGGTAATAGTGGGCGTTCATATATTTTTTCAGAAAGGATTGTTACTTTTAAATGTAAAATGGAGCACAGGTTCATTTTTAAAGATAATTCATGCAATTTGTTTTTCACCGATTTTCTCAGGAAAGACAGGCCTACTTACATTTAATAATAGGAATTTACAATTTAAAGAGACCCAGCAACCAGGCCCGTGGAGGGAAAGGGAGAGGGTTTCTTCAAAGGCCACCCAGTAACCCACTTGTATTCCCCGTGGCTCCTTCTGCTGCAAAATACCTCGTGCTTTAGGATATGGGGGAGCATGCAATTTCCTTTCATGATGCAGTGCTCCAGCTTAGTTACCGCCAGGCCCAAACACGATGATGGAGGCGGTGACATCATTGTCCTTAAAGTTTGTCCCCTGGACAAACTGGAAGGAGCAGCGGGATATTGCTGTAAAGGCAATTGGCTCAGGGTATGGGCTTTCTCATTTTCCCTGAGTAGTCAGAAGGGGTTGGAAACCTCAATCATGACATATAAACAAAGTATATCCCTTTATAGTGCTGACTTGTCTCAAATAAGAGCACTGAGTCATTTCTGTGTACTTCCTCCTCTCTCTGCTATCGGCATGAATGAATTCTGACACGAAAAGATAAAGAGGTGACAGGGAAGGGATCTCCAGCACACAGCCTGTGATTGACAGCCTCAGCTCTGTTCCTGTGTGCTGTGTAAAAGGGGGTGTGCCCTTCCCCCCAATCAGCTCTCAGAGCTCTCTTCACTGAGCTCTGCAGAGTGTAACTTCATCTCTTTGCGCCCCCTGTTATAAAGCTCAGACAAGCTTTATAAATTCTGGACTTTGATGAAGAGAAGACTACAGATAAACAGGTCCAACTTATGTAGGAGGATTTGTTTCATCTGTGCATATCATCTGAGGGTTTACAACCACTTTAAGTGCCTTTATGGCCGTTTAACACCTTCTTACTGTAAAACTGAATTTACAAAAATTTACAATTTTTCTTTTTTTTTCTTTCTTAGAATTTGATAAGTTCCTAGAAGAGCGAGCCAAGGCAGCCGAAAGGTTACCGGATCTCCCATCTCCTCCCAGCACAGAGCCCGCCGTGGCGAGCAACCCGGCCAACCGAAAGAAACAGGAACGGGTCGATGATACGCTATTCGCATTGTAAATAATCCCACTTCTGTATAGCGCTCATTGCACTCCCCACCGCCGCACACAGGCACCCCAATCTGTCCTGTAGCCCTGCACTAAAACTGGGACCATCAGTTCCTCCGCATAAGCCATTTTGTGAGATCTAGCACTGGTTATAGGAGCGCAGCCCATCTGTTCATGAGAAACTACCGCTGAGCGAGGCAGGCATCTTGTGAAATTATCCTGCATTTATGTGATTGCAGGATCGTGCGACCAGCATTGCTTGAGAGGACCTCCGGCCTGCTGCTGTTAGTCTAAAGCAGTGGTCACCAAACTGTGGCCCTTGACTTGCCTTTTATTTGGTCCCTGGGACACATTACACCAACTGACTGATGAGGCACTATTCTTCCCATTGATCCCAACAATGGGGCACTATTCTTCCCATTGATCCCAACAATGGGGCACTAGTCTTCCCATTGATCCCAACAATGGGGCACTAGTCTTCCCATTGATCCCAACAATGGGGCACTAGTCTTCCCATTGATCCCAACAATGGGGCACTAGTCTTCCCATTGATCCCAACAATGGGGCATTAGTCTTCCCCTTGATCCCAACAATGGGGCATTAGTCTTCCCATTGATCCCAACAATGGGGCACTAGTCTTCCCATTGATCCCAACAATGGGGCACTATTCTTCCCATTGATCCCAACAATGGGGCACTATTCTTCCCATTGATCCCAACAATGGGGTACTATTCCTTCCATTCAAACCAATGATTGGGCACTATTTCCTCCTTTCAAGCCAATAATAGAGCATTGTTTATGCCCACTGATGCTGGAGCATCTTCTACTCCCACTGGGTCACAGTCCGGCCCTAAAGTCTGAAGGATTGTAGATTGGCCCTTTCTTAGAAGGTTTGGAGACCCCTGGTCTAAAACAAGTCTGTGCTTTGCGAGTTAAGGTTTACTTTAACCCCCCCTCCCCACCCCTCTCCAACATATACTTACTTTCCTTTGCTCTCTTGCTGCTCCAATCATGAAATACCCGGTATACTCACCACCCAGGGCTGTCACATGGTGGGGGGGTCATCCATAGCCCTGCATAAGCTATGAGTTTCCTTGGCTCCCGATGACCGAATTAAACATGGGGAGAGCAAGAGAAAGTAAAAATGTATTTTGCATTTCAGAAATGCTCCTTGTGATATGATAGCCCTTGCTCATTTGTGAACTTAAATTGCTAGATTTGCAAGAGCGAATTATCTCGCCCTTTCCTTGAATGGAAGGGACTGTCCCTGGCCTTCCCCTTTCCTTCATTGGACCTCAGTTCTTTGACTCATGGAGGCATAGTATGACGTGGGAGGGTGGTCCTCATGCAAATACAGGCTGTCAAGGAACACCTACTCCCCCAGATTGTTACCCATCCATCACGGAATTTAGATATTTGCAGAACTCCTCCCATAAACCAACCAACTGCTCATATCAGCTGCGGGCTTTTGAGGTGTACTGAGGCAGAGTGCTGCAATGTTTTCACAAAGCTATGTACAGCACCCTGCCACATCTTCCCACCAGCCGTGATCTGTCTGCATTGCATATGGAAGCAAGGAGTCCCAATGATGACATCACTGGGTCTAAAATAAGGTATATAAAGAAAACAGGTTGAATTCAAACATTTTTTTAAGCATGTGGACTGAGGAGAACTTGGGGGACGATGGAAAGCAGATTTAACTTCAGCTTTAATAGGACAGAGTCTAATGTGCCAAGTAAACTAATCCACAGCAACAAATCAGAATTAATGTTTCACTAATGTGACTGCAGCAACTTTAATTCTGATTGGTTGTTTGGGGTTACTGCACCCTGCGCATTGTAATTGATATTCAGAGTTCTTTTTGTAGTAAGCCCATTCAGGTCGCAGAGATGTCATTAGTTCATAAATCATTGTCGGGTATTCATCTCACAATATGGCTGCTTTGCCCAGCGCATTATCCTACCAATGTCAGGATCCTAAGCAATCGACAATTGGTCCTTCGCTGTCTCATGATTTTATGGGCGACTTGCTCTGATGAGTGACCAGTTCCTGCAGTTAGAGGACAGAAGGGCGTTCGGCTTGAGGCCTGCTCTATAGTATTTGGCGGTAGTGACCTTCTAGGTGGCGCTCTGCACATTCCTAATTGCTCTTCTTGTAAATGTTCCCTATCTGCACCTCCAGTGTAACTGCAATAGCACTGCATGTCTCATCTCTCTTAAGACAGTAGGTCTCTTTTCATATGTATATTTAGAGAGAGAGAGAGAGAGAGAGAAGGCGTGATGTATACCTGAACTGCAATGTTTGCACATCTTTCTTACCTCTCAGCTAATTAAGTTGAACAGTAGAAACAAACGACCGCCTGTCCATAATATGTTCATTTCTGCAGATGAAAATTGTTAAAAAAAAAAAAAAAAAAAGGGGACCTTCACTCGGGATTATGAATTTTGGGTGGTGTCATTAGATGACCCTTGTATGCAAAGTTAGGTTTGCACCCACGGGTTCTTTAACATGATCCAATTCTTTGAGGATCTCCTAGCAGCAATCCCCTAGTTTCTGCCATTGCTGTGCTGATTAGAGTCATCCCCTATTTACTTCTGGTGCAGAGACAAAGTAGGGTTTCAGACTTAAAGTGGAAATCCAGTCAGGGATTCTTCCAACTCCCTCTAGCTAATTAGACTAGCCCCATTAATGGCCCATATACTTACCTGAGTCCATGGTCACACCACATGCTGGGCCCCAGGTCTTCTCTCTTCTGGAGTGCAGTGAGAGAGACCATTTGGTGGCAGTGGCACACCATCAACCTTTACTCCCACCCCTCTACAGGACATCATGAAGAAGGACAGCAACAAGACCAGTTAGTGACAGGCCATATCTGCAGTGGAACACCATTGGCCTTTACTCCCACCCCTTTGGATGACATTGTGATGAAGGGCTTCAACAAGACCAGTTGGTGGCCAGCCCTAGCTGCAGTGGCACACCATCAGCCTTTACTCCCACCCCTCTGGATGACATCATGATGATGGGTGGCAACAAGACCAGTTGGTGTCAAGCCCTAGCTGCAGTGGCACACCATCTGCCTGTACTCCCACCCCTCTGGATGACATGATGATTGGTGGCAACAAGACCAGTTGGTGTCAAGCCCTAGCTGCAGTGGCACACCATCGGCCTTTACTCCTACCCCTCTGGATGACATCATAATGATGGGTGGCAACAAGACCAGTTGGTGGCAAGCCCTAGCTGCAGTGGCACACCATCGGCCTTTACTCCCAACCCTCTGGATGACGACATGACAAAGGACAGCAACAAGACCAGTTGGTGGCAGGCCCTACCTGCAGTGGAACACCATTGGCTTTTACTCCCACCCTCTGCAGAGCATCTTGATAAAGGACAGTAACAAGGCCAGTTGGTGGCAAGCCATAGCTGCATTGGGATTTACAACCCCCCCCCAAGCACCCACCCCACAGGACATTGTGAAGAAAGGCAGCAATTGGACCATTTGTTGGAATGCCCTAGCTGCAATGTTGCACCATTAGCCTTTACTGCCCACCCCACTGCTCAACATAATGAGAAAGGGCGGCAACAAGACCAGATGGTGGCAAGCCCTAGTTGCAGCGGTACATCATTGGTCTTTACTCTTGTGAATGTGTAGTTTTAGATATAAAAGATATTCGATATTATTAAATTCAGGGCAAGAAGTTACATTTTAAAAATGTATTTCTTGTAGACAGATAAATATGACATATTTCATATGACTGTCATATGTACTTTGCCATAGGCACAGTCTCTCACAGCTCACCAGGCTAACGTTAACTGCCTTGTTGAAAGTAGAACTCAATGTTTATGGAGCAGGATAGCTGTAGCTCGGTATATAGCACACCGCTGATTGAGGCAGAGAAGTGACTCCTCTCCCTGCTCTGTACAGCTCCATAGAGATTGTCAATTAGAGACAAACCGATAGGAAAAGGCTGCTGCCCTTAGGTTGTAAACTATAATAAATATTTGTAAAATAAAATCTTATACAAAAAGTTGCAATACACCAACTGAAAGTAAAAATGGAGTTTGCAGCAGTGAGTGATGAAGGGCAGAGCGGGTTGAGATTCTCAGGTGGGCTTACAGGAGACCGCTGTGGATGGCGATGATCACTAACCAAGAGCAAGCAGTAGGCGTGGCAGTGACACGGGCCAACCGTTGATGCTATTACTAAGCTATCGGGGGGGGGGGGGGGGGGGTCAGTTGTGCTGGTGTGGATGTGTCTGTTTGCTGGAGTTTCCCTTTAGGTGTATATAATAACCCAGCTGGTTTCTACCCAAAATGAAATTCTTGGTTTGGAGTGGAGGTCTCCTTTAACCCAACACTGTCATCACCTGCTGATTTAATTGGGCATTCCTTACTGTACCCACAATCCCCTCTTCCACTGCAGGGAACCTATATACATATATTAAAGTGGACACTAACATAAATCTAACATACATGTATTTTAAATGGTCATTTTAACCCTTTCTGATGCCATATATTTTCTGGGCTGGTTTACACAACTATGGGGGATACGAGTTGTCCGTGATATTGCTGCCTATGGATTGTACTTGCAGTTATTTAGTTTTGGGAAATCACTGCACTGTCTGAATGTAAGCAGCCTGGTCATAGCAATGACAAGGGATGTATATAGAACCTGTTATATGGATGGATATATAGAGAAAGGTGGTGTTGCCCATAACAACTAATCAGTTTTAAAGAGTAACTTCCATTTATTCTAAAAGCACAGACGCAATAGAAGTAGGTTTGCAGGGACCCTTGCGGTAAGCATCATTGCAAGGGTTCAAGATTTTAAAAACTTGGAAATCTTTGGAAGGGAACATGAATGATGTGATATAGAAGCTAGGATACTGCTCTCTGCCGCTCCCCTTCCTCCTCCTCCCCACTTGTTCCATCAAAGTGGCAGAACATGTATTCACGAATGAACGGCTGCGGAAGGAGACATCTATCAGGAGCTGAGATATGGGGACAGTTTCCAGC